CTCCTGGATAGAAACTTCTTACGTACGACATAAGAACCGTGTCCATCATAAGGTCAGGGTTTCCACTGACAAAAATGCTTTGTATGAAACCTATCCAAACTTAGAACACAAGGAACATGCCACGTGGCGCGTATGTTCTGCCAGGAAGCCTACTTCACCATCCCAAATGCCTGGCAGTTGTCAGAACTTGCAAGGGGAATTTTGTTTACTTTGTGAAATGCCCAGTAGGTGTTCCAAGAGTCATTTAGGAATACTGTCACACAGACGTTAGGGTAGATACAGTCTTTAACTTACATGTGTTGCTAAAGGGAACATTGTGATCTCAATATTCAGTTTATTTCTATGGTCTATCAACAGGATTCCTTATATTGTGAAATATCAGTAGAAAAAAATGTCATATTATTTAGTACTGCTTTTATGTTTTCCAAATTTTTATCCAAGATCAGCTATATGATTATGTATATTATCTGTTCTGAGAGTCTTGACATGACTACTTAGAGTGACAAAAACATTTCAGATAATACAAAAACTTCAATGAAATAAAAAAATTACTTCTCAGTATTATTTAATAAAGGCCAGAGATCTGATAATCAACATAAAAGAAAAAATTCCTAGGGTTAGCTATAGTTTGAACTAATACTTATAAAATTTCAAAATAATGCCTTAATTATTCACATAGAATCATCTCTATTTTATATATGATTACTCCCTCAACTTCACAACAGATGGTATGACCGTTCAGTAGGTAGTTTCAGAAGCAGTGAGAGTCTGAGAAAACAATAGGCAGATGCTTCAGAGAGGAGGTGGCAGACAGTAGGGCAGAAATGTGACGGAAGTCAGAAAAGGGGACAGAAGGCAGAAGGGGCAGGCACAAATGGTGACAGAAAAGGCAGTGAGATAAACAAAAGTAAATGTGGCAAGAAGTAATGTGAGAATGTGGAAGACAGATAAAACTTATAAGTATAATAGGTATAATATTCAGTCATGTTTAATAAAAAGGAAATACAAGTATATATGCATCTATGATAAAAGAAAAATGAACTTCAGTAAATTCTGTAATCTTATAACTTCTTATGAGATGCTTCGATTAATTTATGTATTCATCAGTACGCAGGAACGACAGGAAGAAGTCAGAACATAATAAACAGTATCTGTACACTGATATTCCTGTCCCAACAGGACAGTGGATGTAACTGTCCTGACTGCTCTCCTGTGTGTCTAGGAAAGGTGCCATAAAACGAACAGGTGTTTGGGTTTGATGGGCTCCATGACTCAGTTTCACAGGGGCTGTGCTGTTTACTGGTAGCTAGAGCAATCACTTCCTAAACCTCACGGCGTGAAGCCTGACACAGCAGTTCTTTCTCACACTCCTTCCTTACGCTGTGATGAATGCTTTTATCTCAGGGTCAGCGGCCCTTCTTAGCCCCGAGGGCCATCTGTGGCCCTTGGGATGCCTGAGGCCAAAGGAAGAGACAGTAGAAGAGAAAGAAGGACTAAGAAAGACCATTATTAAGGGAAGGAGAGGGAAAGGGCAGGACTGGGAAGAAAGGGAGAGGGAAGCTGGGAGGAAAGCAGTTCTTTGGGTGGGGAGGAGGATCAAGTCTGACCATCAAATGCCTCATCAGGGCCGGCCAGCAGACTGCACCACAGACCACCTTCCTCTTCACTCAGCAGCTCTTGGGCATTTGGTTTAAAAATACACATCTATCCAGGGGATTCCCAGAGAGGGAGCAGGACTCCACCACCCCTTGAAATCGTGATCCGCTCATCACTTAACCCGGCTGGTTGTGTTATTCCCAGACTGCTCTGCAGTTCCCTCCCACTCCCCACCCTTCCATTTTTCTCTTTCTGCTCCCCCACTCTGGTGGTTCCCCAGGAACTAGTGCTTTATGGTCAACAAACTTTTCCACTTTTAACCTTTTGTGGAAATACTGTGCTCTACTTCGTGCTGTAATTAGAACCCGGCTGTCCTTCGAGCACACTGCTTTCTTGCTCTATGAGTACTAGTGTCCTCTGGTTCCTGATACGGGTTTCAGATCACTATTTCTCATTTTTGTAAAAATTTCCATTCTTTTGGGCCTCATGAAACCCAGTTATCCCCTAATTCTAGTCTTCGTTGTCATCATTTACTGAACACTACCTTTCATTCACGGAAGAATTTTGGTGCCTAACTGTATCTCAACTCTAGACAGGATACACTGTCTGTCTCCTTGGACAATCGCTCCAACATTCAAGTCTTACCACTTCATCTTCTACCACCTTGTCTCCTCCACCTCACTTGGGTCACCTGCTTCTGCAGTCTCATCTGGAGTACTGAATAGCTGTCCTTTCTGAAATGACTAAGAGAGCCCATCCTCTGACAAGGACACCTACCCTTATAGCTTATTTGCTCAGTAGCCCAACCTCTCCCTGTTATCTGAATGAGATCTCTATTTTCTCTATGTCAACGCTCTGTCTTTTCAAGAAACTTACACTGCAGATTATCCCTTCTCTTTCCTATATCTTCAAACTATCCTTCTTTGCCAGGGATTAAACATACTCAAGAATCTTTATCATAAAAAAAACCCCTAACACAAACAAACCCCCCCAAACCAAAAACCAAAAAACCCCATAAACCCCCCTTCTGCACTTTGTATCTCTTGCTGGTTATAATTCTCTTTTCTACTTCACAGCTAAATTTATAAAATGGTCGGGCGTTTTCTCTACTTATTCACTTCTTGTTCACTCTTCAATCCCTCCCAATCTGCCTTTTGCCTCTAAATGTCCATGGAAAGAGCTCTTCTGAAGTTTATTAATAACCTCCATTAGCCAAACTGGTCCACAGTGTCACTGAGCCACCTCCACATCACTGGATATGGCTGATAACTGCTTCCTGACTGAAGCAGTTCTCCTGTGGCCTCTCCTCGACTGCCGATGCCTCCAGCTGTTCCTTCCTGGTCTCCTTTTCAGCTTCTCCCCCTTTATTCAACTTTTAAAGAACTCTGAAGTCCAAGGGGACCTGGTCTGAAGCTAACTTGTGTCTCTCCCCAGGTAATTTCATTCACTCTCATGGCTTCACACATCATTATGCCAGTGACTCTGAATTTCAGAGCAATGCTTTGCTATTTTGATGTCCTAGGCATTTCAAACACAGTATGTTTAAATGTACTTTTCTTCCAAATACCTTCTATCAGTAACTGTACTATTATCCACCTAATTTTTCATATCACATCAGAAACCAGGGGGGACCCCTCCAAAATCACTATCAATCCCTTCAGCATTCTATCTTACTAATCAACCTTCAAATACCTCATGACTATAACCACTTCTTTCTATCTCCACTACACTGACCTAATCAAAGCCACCATCACTACTGTGGCCTCCTGATCTGCTCTCTCCAAAGTTTTTCTGTTTTTTTCTATTCCTGATAATCTAATTTCCACAGTGCAAAAAAGGGATCTTTTAAAGATTCAAATCTAATCATGATACTTCTCTGCATATAACATATAATGCCTTTCGGTTTATAGGAAAAGAAAATTCTCCAATCTTCAGATGGCCCTTCAGCATCTGGCCCCTCTTTGGTTTCCAGACTCATTTCATTCACTTGTCCTTTTTGCCTTCTACACTGCGGCCACTGAGTTCCACTGAGTTCTTCCTTGTCTCAGACATTTCTACGTATTATTCTTTGTTTGTTTCTGTCTGGCAGCCTCCTCCCCACCAGATCATGTCTCTCTTCGCCCCAGCCTGGTGAATTCATTCATCCTTTAGGCATCTACTTAACTGTCATTCCTTCAGAGGAGCTACATTTGATTTTTCTTTTGGAGGGCTTATCACAATTATAACGTATTAATTATTTGTGTAATGTCTGTTGCCGTCTGCCCCAACTCAAATTCTGGCCCCCTGTTGCCAAACTGTAAAATCCCAAAGGACAGCAATCATGTCTGTTTTATTCAGGAGTGTCTGTTGTATCTGTGAGGCCCAGCACACTGCCTGGCACACACTATGTGTCCAATAAACCGGTATGGAACGAGTGAATGAACGAAATTCATTCCAACTTAGGGATTCTGTTTATCTCAACACACTAGAAAGCAATGTTATTTGATATTTTCAGGTTTTACTCAAATAATGGTAGGAATAAATAGCAATCAGACATACTTTAATTCAACCACACTTTTGTCAGGAGAGGGAGCCCTAACTCCTGATAGTTTCAACTTGTAGTTAATTTTCCTCAAAAAATACAATCCTTAAAAATAAGGATTTTTAACTCTCAATCACTCCTTCAGGCCTATATTCTCTACTACAATCATATATTGATTTGTCCTTTGTCTAAGTTTGGTTAGGAAGGAAAAAAAAGCATGTTTAAGGAAGGCAAAGAACAAAAAAGTCTAATAAAGGTTTTTCATTAGATAAATGCCCCTTAGACAAAGTCCAATTACGGACCCTGTTTGGATTTCAAATTCTAGTCACTTTCTTGGAATTCAGAATGAAGCACGGAAAAAAATTAGGAAAATAAAGCCAAGTTTTGGCTCTACCATGAAATACCAATCTGTGTCATCTGAAAGTACACTACACCTCCTTCTGTGATAGTCTCCATTAACTTCATAAGCACTCTATTTTTTCCTCCAATTAGGTTGGGCTCATCCCTTTTTCCTGCTATCTAGGCGAATGAGAGAATGAGGAAGAAGCTTTAAGTAAACTGCTAATTTAACCAGAGCTCTATTTGAGTACACAGAAAAACTATCAAATTTGATGGAGAACTGAAATTCTAAGATGTTACTTTTCTGCCACAGTGGACCTGACTATGGCCAGCTATGTTTGAAAAAGCCTTCTTGCCTTCCTCCCACATAGAAAGTGTAGATGGTAAAGCTGAGGCTTTCAGGCAGTGTTCCCATGGATAGAAACAGTGGCTTCTACATATTCACTGTGCTGGCCTTGTTCTGATTTTGATGGTCTCACTGTCAGATACTGATTCCTACTACATTGCTCTGATGATGCTTCCACATGTCCTTAACCTACTTTACCTTCACAGGGATGTCTTCTTCCTGGCTGGCTTTCTCTGAGGTGAAGACATACGAGATCTCTTTGTGAGATGTGGTCTGGCGGCAGATGGCACACTTAATGGAGCTTCTATGAGACCCCACACTGTACTGCTCGATAATAATTGAAATGCACTCATTACAGAAACAGTGTCCACAGGTCAGTACTGCCCACTGAAAAAGAAAACACACAGAATATACCTCAGTGAGGTGCTATCAAAGATGCCTTCTAATCTATAAATATATTAAAAAGAAAAGGGAGTCATAATTTCACTTCCTACATGTTTTATGACATTAACACTCTTTAAGTCATAAAAACTATGTTGTAAAAATTAACTATTTTTTAGTTCAACCAGAGTTCGCTTTCAGAGTCTTTAGTTCTACTCACTCTAATTGTGAGCCTAACAGTCAGCCACCATTATTTTGTAAGAAGTTGGTGTTCTCATTTCAGTATTTAGGAAAAATGCAATTACTCCTTTAGTACTGCAACAGCAGATAAAATAGAGGAACTGAGAACAACGTTAATTTGGAGATAATATCATCCTCAGTATATTCTATATAACTCATTAAATGGATTTACATCTTCACATGTTACAGTATTTATCATATAGAAAATTAGATGGGTTAGTATCTCAGGCTTATTTTAAAAGCAGTTCTAGATATATTTAAAAAAACCGAAGTAAGTAAAAAGACATTTTTGAAAACCCCTTTGTCCAATATATTTCAAGAAAAGTACAATAGTTCTCTCTGACTCTTGGAGTATAGCAATGATGGGTGCAGAAGAGTACTGGTTTTAGGTGAGGTGTCAGTTCTAAAAGCTATGGCATCTTATGCAAATTATTTAACTTTTTCACCTGGTAGACAACAACAACAAAAATGGAGTGGTATTATGAGTGACTAGGTTCCTAAGCACGAAACTGTGTTTTTCTAGGATTCAGACATGTATGGACGTGCACAGAAAGAAGGTGCATGGCTGGGCCCACCTGGGGTGCTTTGCAGGACAGACTAAGAAGTCCCTTTGAAAAGAACTCACACTAAGGGAGGAGAAAAATGAGGTATATAAACTTGGTTTGAAAATAATTTTTGAGAAGGGGGAGGGGCTGTTTGGGGTTTTACTGGCTGATGCGGTTCATACTGTTGTCTAGCCGCACATCTGCTCTCTTGTGTCAGTCCTCAGGAGTTGAGGCTGCAGTAAAATTAAAGAGCTGTTTCACTAACAATTTTCTTTTTTTAAAAGATTTATCTATTTATTTTAGAGAGGGCAGGAGGGGCAGGGGGAGAGGGTCCCAAGCAGACTCGGTGCTAAGCTCGATCCCATGACCCCGAGATCTTAACCTGAGCTGAAATCAAGAGTCGGTCGCTTAACCGACTGAGCCACCCACGTGCCCCTCACTAGCATTTCTGTAAACACAGAAGCATTTTTCTGTACCCTGTGTACCTTTAGTGCCCGTAGGGACGAAGGGCACTTCCTTTACTTGAGAGAACTTTTGTGGCTCGTGAGAGCTCAGAATGGACAAGCTGAAAAGATAAGTCCATCTACACCTGCAATTCAGGAGAAATCAGACACTTGGCACCAGAGCCTCAGGAATGACTAGAAGTTAACTGAAGCAGCCCAAAGAAGCCCAAATGGCAATGCCTCCAGGGATGTTAGCCAGTATATGAGTTATGTCTGATGGATCCTCTAAATTAGGAGGGGAAGAGGAGAATTGGGAAGATAAAAAGGATCTAGAGTTCCTATAGGCTGTGGTGAGGAACAGAATTTAAGAAGTGAAGTACTATTGCCCTTATTGTAATCTAGTATGTTCTCCTAAGTGAAGGAAATATAGGTTTATACTAAAATTAAATGAAATAAGGTATATGAAAGAACTTTAAAAACTGGAAACGTTTAAGACACAAAATTTGATTCATCCAGTTGTGTGAATCTCACTGAAACTAAAAGTAAAAAAAGACACTACTTACCTCATGATCCTTTCCATTTTTAACACGACTTTTACATTTTTACCAGTGACTTTTCTCAGAAATCACCAGTCTCTGTACATTATTATTCTGCCTAGTTTCCAAAGTAACATTGATGCATTTAAGATTTATTATCAATAAAATGTCCTTTAAATCCCACTTTCTCCATAAATTGTGGAAACTAAAAGGTACTTTCTTTCTGATTATTGCTGGTCAGAATGTGGAGCTCATATATTTAACTTTTTACTCTTGGTTCCACAGAAAACAACAGCCAAGAACACTTTTAGTCACTTCAAATTTTGAGAAGCAGTTAATATTCTGATATTGTATATATTGATTTATCATACAAAGTAGAAATTTGTAGTTTCAAAAATCACAGTTGGTAGGATAAAAGAATCTCTTTGAGGAGAACTAATATGGTACCATTAAGTTTACAGAAATTTGTACACCAGTATTTGAAAGATTTATTCTTGTTACAATGGCCTTGTAAAAATCATACCTAAATTCCCCCAGGATTGACATTATTTATTTTTTAAAGGCTGGTTATTAAATATTAATAATCCCAAGTAAGAGCTATGTTACTATACACCTTTGTAATACCTTAAGTAAATCTATGTATGCTTTATTATATTTCTGTACAATTACCAATAAACATGTTAAACTGACAAAGTCAGATTACTTAGACTTGATCTTGTGACTGGAAACAATATGCAGAACTATGCATCTTTAATGAAAAATGTAGGGTTATTCTAGAAATATGTTTTCACCTATCACTTAAGGAGGAACACTGCTCAAACATATGTGGCACTAAGCCTCTCACCTAACCTTTGGCCCTATTTTTAAGGTGGAGGTCATTCCTGCCTTGCATATAAAATTGTCATGAGAGAAAAAGAGAGCTATTATATGTAAATGCCTTTGAAAAGTGTAAAGTGTTTTATAAATTCATATGCTATTAATTATTATATCACCTGTTTTCCCAGCTGCCGAGCACAGATTGGACAAGGTTCTGGATTAATACCTCCTGATGTTTTATCTTGAGACTGTTCAAAAAAATAATTAAAAAAGAGATTAGTTGCATTTTAAAACCTGATATGTATTTTATAACTCATGTATAAAAGTAAATGCTGCAACTGCTATTTAAATAAATTTGATAATTAAAGATAATTTCATAATGTATTACTTAATATTAATATTCCCAGAATTTATAAGTAACATTCAAGGAACAAATAAAAAATGGAAATAGCTTTCATTAGAGTTTATTAAAGTTACTATATTACTAATATTTGTGACTACTGTAGAAGGCAAAGTGAAAAACAAATTGTGATATAACAGGTAAATTCTCAAAATTTTACTTTCAAGCTAGCTTTTGTTATAAAGAAATACGTATTATTTTAAAAAATGTAATTTGGAATTCTGAAACAAAGGCTCCTTAAAAACTATACAGACAATATTTATTCTGTATACCCACTGGGCAGGTGATCACAGACTTGGGGGAAGAGGCAGCATTTATTTACATATCTCCTTATTAATACTGGTTTCCTCTGTATTCTTTTGTAATCTCATTAAGGCAAAGCAAATAACTAGAAATCAGAAATATCTTGAGACCTATTTTGCCTGCAAATTATACTGAAGTATAACAGTGCTCTTCAAAATCTCTTTAAAACTATTTCAAAAATTTTTGAGCTTCAAAAAAGTCACCAAATGGACAGGTTTAATATTGAGGAAAACCTAAAGGAAAGTAAGTCAGACTCAGAGGTCACTAACCAAATAGTTAAACATTTTAGACAATTGTTTTTGATTATCCTTTTACTTTTTAGTTAAAAAAAAAAAAAGAGGTAAATCGTGCACGGATTCAGCAACGCTACAGGTTCAAAACAATTCTATTAACTAAAATATAACGATTTTTTAAAAAAGTTGAATTATTTTCTTCTTTTATTGATTTGTTTCAGGTAACATATAACAAACCACCTAAAGTCTTAGTGGCTAAAACAAACAGGAGTTTCTCATGATTCTACAGGTCACCTGAGTGATCTGGTGGTGGGCTGACTCATGTGGGGCTGGATGATCTATTATGGCCTCATGTTGATGTCTAGTAGTCAGCAGACTAGCTGGTCTGGAGGGGGCTAAGCTGAGATTTCTGCTCCCGATGACAGGGAATCTGGGCTGCTTCACAACAACTCCAAGTTCCAAAGAGCAACAAGATTGGGAAAACTCCAACGTGCATGTCCTTTTCAAATCTCTGTGCTTGCGTCACAAGGCCAAAAGCAGGTCATGTGACCAAACCCAGAGTCAGTGTGGATCATCCATGGGCATGTATACAATAAGGGGCGTTATGTAGCATTTTGTAAACAATTTTTCATAATTTACATCATCTCTTCTTTTTTTAAGTTAAGAATTGACTTACAGCGAGGATTATTACTTTTCCATAAAGGGCCTGGTTGGCTTTGTGGCCATATGGTTTCTGTTGCAACTACTCGACTGCTATCGTAGCACGAAAGCAGCCATAAACAGTATGTAAAAGAATGAGTGTGGCTCTGTTCCAACAAAACTTTACTGTAATTACAAATCAGGTAGTGAGCTGGATTTGTCCCATTCTCTTTGCAGATCCCTAACTTAAAGTTATAAATTTCTTCTAAGCACACCTTAGCTGCCCATTGTCACTTGATTTTTATTTTTGTTCAGTTCAGAACATCTTCTAATTTCTGTTGTGATTTCTGTAACTCATAGGTTATTTAAGAGTGTGTCGTTAATTTCTCAACATTTGGGGATTCACCTGGTTATCTTTCCATATTGATATCTAATTTAATTCCTTTCGTCAGGAAACATAATCTTGTATAATTTTAATCCTTTACAAATTTTAAGTTGCTCTTTGAATCAGCACAAGGTCTATTTGGGTAAATGTTCCATGCACCCCTAAGAAGAGTGTATTTTGTAGCTGCTGTGTCAATTCAGTCATGGCTGTTCTGCATTCAAATGTTTGATATCCTTACTGATTTTTTCCTGTCCATTTGTCTGACATATGGAAGAATCTTGTAATAGTTTGCCTCTGCTTACCTTCTTCCTGTGTTAGTTATGTATTTCAGTTCTGTGTATGTTGTATATCCTATACATCAGCACTGCTGCTTTGCATGGATATTGTTCTTGTTCTTTTTTATTTACCTACATAAGCTTTCTCTTACCCTGCATTCCTTCCTGTAGTTCTATCCTTCAACCTGGGATAATTTCCCTTTGGTCCAAAGAACCTCCTTTAATATTTGTTACAGTGTGAGTCTACTGGGAAGGAATTCTTTAAGTGCCTTAAACCTAAGAACATCTTAATTTCACTTTTAAAAATAGCATTTTAAAGATGTTCTACTGTTACCTGGTTACACAGCATAAAGCTATTGAAACCTGGTAACAGTGGAATGTCATCTTTAAAATGCTAAAGCAAACAGTTTCTCTGTGTAGTTAACAAGGAGAAGGTATACAGTCACCAGTTTTTTTGTCCCAATTCTAGTTGCTTAAATTTTTTTTCATGATTTTTGGTTTCTCGCAGTTTATGATATTCATAGGTATTTTTGAAAAATTTCATTTTTATTCTGTTTGGGGCTCTCTGACCTTCTTGAATCTGTAAGACATTATGTTATGGTCTTTCATCAGTTTTGGAAAACTCTCAGCCCTTATCTCTTCAAGTTGCTCTGGTACCATTTACCTTTTTCTCCTGGAACTTCAATTACATGTATGACAATCATATGGCTGTGTCCCACATCTCTTTCACTTTATCCTGCTCTTTATTTTTATGTATATGCTTCTTCAAACTGGGTATTTATTGTGGAACCATACTTGAATTCACTACTTCTGTCATTTTCTGTGTCTAGTCACCATCCAACCAGTTTTTAATTTCAGATACTGGATTTTGCCTTTCCAAAATGTCCACTTGATTCTACTGTATACATTCCAATTCATTTTATATATGTTGTCCGCCTTTCCTCTCTTTAATGTATGAATCATAATTACTTTAAAGTCCTTTCCTGCTATGTCCGCAATCTGGATTATTTGTAGATCTGCTCTGATTGTTCATTTTTTCCCTTTTAATTACTGGTCACATTTTCCTGCCTTGCACATTTCTTGTGATTTCTTATTGTATGCTACACTTAGTCTGTTTATACAACAAACTGCAGAGACAAAATTAGATGTTATTTTCTTTCACAGAGGATTACCCCTACCCTGGCAGGCAGTTAGGTTGAGGGGTGAGTGGCTGATGACCTCAATCCAGTAAAAAACTGAGCTGGTTTTGGGGATGGGTTTTAAGGTAGGTTCAAAATCAAGCCACTGTGAAATGTCTCAAGGGTAAGACCTGTTATGTGTTTGTTGTTGGCCCCTTGCTCTCTTGGGGAGGAACTGTCTCCTAGGTGCTGCTGAAACTAAGATTTCACTCTGTATTTCTAGTATAGGCCCAGCTGTCATGCAACCCTATCACTTAGCAAATAAGTAAAGTTGGTTGTGCATCTGAAGCTCCTCAAAGTTCCAAAAGGTAATACTAACTCACCTGACCATCAAAAGTTCTACTGATTTCTCTTTCTCCTGTTTGAGTCCCTCTACAATACTGACCTTAATCTCAGCCTGTATCCAGATACCGCAAATGTTTTCAGGCAAGACAATGGCCAGCAATCTCAGCTCACCTAGAAAGAGCTCTTCCTTCCCTGGAATGTCATTCCACCTCAACCTTTTTGCTTCCACAAGTCTCCACTGTCTTTAAAAATAAGATGTTAATAAGGTAATGGCAAGACATCACTGCTATTCCCATACAGAAGTAGCAGTCCCCAGACTATGAAAGATCTCATGTGGTTGCTTAGTATTCAGAAAATTTCTTCTGAAGAACTTTTTTTTAACTGAGATATAATTGACACATATTAATTTCAGGTACAACACAGTGATTCAATATATGTTTGTTGGAGACTTTCCTTATACTTTGAAATCTTACTGGACATTTACCAGTTTTTTTGTTACTTGATAATGAAAATTGCTGATCAACAATCTAACATGTTCATCTTTAAATTTCTTCAGAACTCTTGAATGTATGCCATTCTGTTATTTTAAGTGATTAATTAAGTTCTTGAGGCCAAGGACCAAGTCTATCTCAAACTCCAACTATAATGCATATACATCACAGGTGCTCAATAAGTATCTGTTGACTGCCAGAATATGTAAAAATTTGTTTTGCTTATTATTTTTTATTTAACTAAACACAGTCACATGAAATTTATAATTTTTTTTAAATTTCATTTTTGTTATTTTTCTCAACTTTCTAACATGAGCATTCTCTTACCTCATTTATTTCCTGAAGACACCATTTACAATATTTATATCATAATCTCACTGTAACAATAATCCATGACTTCACATGTAAACATTGTACTTCTTGTTGGACACTTAGTCTTCTATTTTATTACTATTACAAATAAGACTGCAATAACTATCCTTATATCTAATTCACTCCCCAAATTTCTATTTACTTAGAATATTCAGGAACAGTTCTAAGAATTACTGAGTCAAAGGATATGAATTCTCTGAAATTGTTAATACATGTTTAAGTATTTTCAAGAAAGGGCTATATAAATTTATATTCCTATTGGTAATACATGAAATATCCATTCACTGACCTTTCACCCCTGTGGAGTGTTATTTTAAAAATCTCTGCCTACTTGTTGGCAGGAAATGGTATCAGCTTAATTTGATTTTCCTTCATTATGTTTTTTTCTTTTATTATTAGCTGAATTTAATTTTCTAGGCAGATTATATATCCTTAGAATTTTAATTTTTTAAAAACTGATTCAACAAATACAGGATATCAATTTATATCCTATAACAAACAATTAACTATCTCTTAATTTTGACTTTCACATTTAAAGTATAGAAATCTGGGCGCCTGGGTGGCTCAGACTGCCTTTGGCTCAGGTCATGATCCTGGAGTCCTGGGATCGAGTCCTACATCGGGCTCCCTGCTCGGCGGGGAGTCTGCTTCTCCCTCTGACCCTCTCCCCTTTCATGCTCTCTATCTCATTCTCTCAAATAAATAAATAAAATCTTAAAAAAAAATAAAAAAATAAAGTATAGAAATCTAACATTTAAAAAGCTCACATTCAGGAATATCAAGAAATTTTTTCCAAACATTATTTCTCTAATGCTAGAATTTTGTGAGACTGACTTTTAAAAGTTTTCCCCCGTCTAGGGGCACCTGGGTGGCTCAGTCAGTTAAGTGTCATAGTACTGATTTCAGCTCAGGTCACGATTTCAGGCCGTGAGGTGGCGGGGCTCTGTGCTCAGTGTGGAGTCTGCTTGAGATTCTCTCTCTCCTTCTCCCTCTGTCCCTTCCCCCCATGTGCTCACGCATGTGCTCTCTCCTAAATAAATAAATCTTAAAAAAAGGTTCCCCACATCTTTTCCTCCTGCCAGTATCATACTAGTAGTCATCACAGTAATATCAGTAACAATATGGTATTAATAGCAAAGACCTAGAAAGTGCTTAATAAGTCAGGAACTGCTCTAGCACTTCACATATATTAATTCGTACAGTCCTCAAGAGAGCCATACAAGATCATGTTGTTATTCTTATTTATTTTACAGATGAGGCAAAGAGAGGTAAATAACTTGAATAAAGTCCCATATGTAGAAAAGAGTGGTGTCAAGATCCAAACCTGAACTGCCTGGGTCCCAAGACTGTCTTCTCAACTACCACGCTATTTTACTTACAATGAATGTCTAACTTCTCATTTTATCATCACTGGGATTTACTGATTCACTTAAATGTATTTTGTATCAGTTTCAGCAGCAACTCTAGTCTACTGCTTTCCTTCATTTGTCCTATCCAAGAATCTATTATATCTCTTTCTGATAAAGTACTGCCAACAGCCATTTATCCTTGCAATAAAATGGAACTACATTCATCAATGTCCAATATAATACATTGCTCACAACTCAGAAAATGTATTTTGAATTACATTAAATAATTTATCATTACATCTTCTGATTTAGTAGACTTCTGAACGTTTTATAGTTCCAAATAACAAATTAAAAAAAATCTATGTATGTATTAATGAGTGCATGTATATGTATATATAAAGTAATGCATTTTTTGCCCAGAGGTGGTAATACTTCCACCATTCAAGGTTTTGAACGACAGTCTGTTTATATTGTTTTATACTCTAGAGTATACACCCTTTACATAATCTGTGTAACTTATATTTTCTACAGGTATCACCCATTGTGATCTGTGTAGTTACTGTAGACAGAACTAGTGTTCTGACTGATACAATTAACACAAACAAAAGATTAAAGAAAACATTGTACCACTAATTATGTGACTAACAGATTAAATGGAAGGAGTCACAAAGGTTTATTGATTTACAGCATGGGAAAAAGTAGCATCTTTTAAACACAATACCTTCTCCAAGTTAGTTAGGTAAAGAAGTTGCCCAAGTTTTTTCTGAAGCTGTGAAGTAGCAACAGCTTTATCATTTAGTAGTTTTATGCGATTTTGTTCTACCTAAAAAACAAAACAACACAACTTTTTATTCTCTCTCTTAGAAAGATGGTAAAATTATATTAAACATGTAAAATTCTTCCTCAATAATTTAACCGTGTCCTATTTTAAGAAAACCCATTGACATGTGAAAACTCAAATTTGCAAAATGGATAGTAGGTATTTTAAAAGGAAACATATACCCACATGGCTCTATAGAAGATAAAACTCAATACAAAATTCTTTTAAATAGGAAGTTTCCCTATACACTTGAAATTGGATAAAAATAAACCCAAATTCTATTTATGTACATTTTCAGTAATATATCCATGGGATAAAGAAAAACTAAATGATCTGATTTTATAAGCACTCTCCCTTCACATGCACACACTCACACCTACACCCACACCCCTTCCCTCCTCTGCCCAGTAGAAAACAGTAGACAGAAGATTATAAAACGAGGAATTTGGTTACATAGGAAAAAATTACTGAAAATTCATACTTTAAAAGTTGAGCTGGTATAAAATGAGTATTTTTAAATTTTTCTAAGGTAAAGTTTCCAAGCCCTATAAGAAAGAAAAAGATTTAAAAGTTAAAACACACAGAGGCGCCTGAGTGGCTCAGTCGGTTAAGCGTCCGACTCTTGATCTCAGTTCAGGTCTTCATCTAGGGGTCATGAGTTCAAGCCCCTGTGCTGGGCTCCATGCATGGAGCCTACTTAAACAAAACAAAACAAGAACAAAAAAACCCTCACATACAAGGAATAAAACTATAAAGGAAATTATATTTTAATATGGGAGATAAAAGGTTGGGAGAGTCATTTTTTCATCCTGGGATATAAAGAGGGATTTATTAGAAGATAAGTTGTCAATATCTGTTAATCAGTAGCAAAGGAAAAGTGCAAAAGAAAAGTTTTTGATTGTTCTTAGGGAAGGAGCTTGTAAGAAGGACATATGTCTAAAAACTGACTGAGACCCCCTTTAGATTTGGCATACAGAAGGTGCTCAGAAACATATGAATATGCAATTTGAAGAGAAACAAATGAACCAAACAGTGAATTCTATGCATGTATTAGATACGACATTGTTCATCCTTGTCCATTTTGACGTATAAAACCAAACACTTTTATATGGCTTAAACTAAGAGCAGAGGGTGGGAGGGATTGGGTGGCTGGGTGATAGACATCGGGCAGGGTATGTGCTATGGTGAGCACTGTGAATTGTACAAGACTGAGGAATCACGGATCTGTACTTCTGAAACAAATAATGCAATATATGTTAAGAAAAAAAAGAAGAAGAAGAAGAGAGCAGGAGGGGAAGAATGAAGGGGAGTAAGTCGGAGGGGGAGACGAACCATTAGAGACGATGGACTCTGAAAAACAAACTGAGGGTTCTAGAGGGGAGGGGGGTCGGGGGATGGGTTAGCCTGGTGATGGGTATTAAAGAGGGCACATTCTGTGTGGAGCACTGGGTGTTATGCACAAACAATGAATCATGGAACACTGCATCAAAAACTAATGATGTAATGTATGGTGGTTAACAATAAAAAAATTATTAAAAAAAAAAACAAAACTAAGAGCAGAGATTAATAAGTACATTCTTATGGAAGAGATCACTGTCTTGACTTTTTTATGGACCTTGGATTTTTGTGACACCTATTGGCTATGTTTTTTGTGATTTACTTGCAAATTACCTCATGTGGTTCAATGATATGAAGAACAGGTGGACTGGGTTTTGGCTCCTTAGGATGACGCACTCTTAGTCGTTCTGTAGCCATTGCAAGTTCATCAATAGCAGACACACGATTCCTCAGAGCCATCCAATACTCATGAAGCAACTAGGAAAACAGAAAACACAAAGACAGTGGTAATTAATGCACAGAATTAAAACGGTTAAAACCACCAAAATGTGTCATGATCAAAAGTCTTCAGTGAGGTCTAAGATATACACATTTTTTTCAGTAAGTGTCTAAGACACAAGCAATTTTTGGGCCATTTTTCTAGGATGAGGATGTAAGACTGAATAACCTCTACAGGCCACTGCAGAATATTGCACCTTTAGATTCTTAGAACAGAACACCTGAAGATATTTTGGTGGAACCAGATCTTTTTATTTATTTATTTATTTTATTATGTTATGTTAATCACCATACACTACATCATTAGTTTTTGATGTAGTGTTCCATGATTCATTATTTGCATATAACACCCAGTGCTCCAAGCAGAACGTGCCCTCTTTAATACCCATCACCAGGCTAACCCATCCCCCCACCCCCCTCCCCTTAGAACCCTCAGTTTGTTTTTCAGAGTCCATCGTCTCTCATGGTTCGTCTCCCCCTCCGATTTCCCCCCCTCAATCCTTCCCCTCCTGCTATCTTCTTTTTTTTTTTTATAACATATAATGTATTATTTGTTTTAGAGGTACAGATCTGTGACTCAACAGTCTTGCACAATTCACAGCGCTGCTCATAGCACGTACCCTCCCCAATGTCTATCACCCAGCCACCCCCATCCCTCCCACCCCCCACCACTCCAGCAACCCTGTTTGTTTCCTGAGATTAAGAATTCCTCCTATCAGTGAGGTCATATGATACATGGGAACCACAAATCTTTATAGGTCAATATTAGCCTGGTGGAATCTCTGCTTTGTTTTTTTAAGAAATATTTTTTTATTATAAAATATTTCACATTTTCAAAATAATATGTATATATGATAATGAAGAATACTAAAATATAAAACTGAGTACTCAACATCCAGTTTAAGAAAGGGAACAATACCAATGCCTTGGAAAGTCTGTGTTCCTGGCTCAACTGCATCCCTCTTTCCTCACACATTCTTTCTTCAACCCCCTACAATGGACTAATTACTATTCTGAATTGGACTTATTCTGTATTTTTCAATTGAGTTATACTAATCTACACATTCTTAATAATTTGGTTATATATGTTTCTGAAATTTATGGAAATATTATCAGTCAGTATAAAATCTTTGATATGTTTTCTTCACTAACTTTATGCTCTGAGGTAGACCCCAACTGATGTGTGTAACAGTGGCTTGTTAATTTGCATTGCTGTTTAAGAGTTTAGTCTGCAATGTTATAGAGAAAAAAATTCACAAAGATCTGAGAAAACTTCATGATAGGCAATCCTGAGACATAGTATGTCGTCAAAATATGCCCAGAGGATAAATGCAGGGGCAACTGGACACTGTATATAGTACTGTCTTCCAATCACTTGCTGTAATTATACGTAAATGTGCATCTGCATTTAGAATAATAATGTGAGAAGAAAAAAATTATTATGAATCATTGATTTCAACTACAAAAGTATTATTCCCCAATTTATCAAACATATGAAATGATATTATAGATAGCATATTTTCTTTTTCTGGATAGAAATTTTTATTTTACTTTGAAAGTCAAGAACTTCAGATTTTTAAAAGATATAAATGGAATTACAATATTATAAATAAAGCAGTTCTTTCATTTCCTCACCCATCCCACCTGCAAAACAAGATAATGGATAATAAATCCAAATATAAAGAATAATTCAAAATTAATGAATTTTGGAATTCAAGTACAAAGTTGTGATATGATAAAATTATCAAGATATAAATATAAAGGGCTACTTTCTACTCCATTAACTGCAATGGTTTCCAGCTTTGTAGGTTGAGAAATATTTACTATGTTCTCCAATCTTCAAAGTTATTGATGTTTGGTTGTTATTCACAGAACAAAAGTAAAACAAAACACAACAAAAACAAAACTCTAACTTTGCAGAACTGCAGTGTAAGATCAAGCTAAGAATAGAATGAAACATTTTTACAGCTAAATAAAAGGCATATCAATTTCATTTTAATAATGACTTCCTTTCAGTAATTTTATAGAAGTTCCTTATTTGTTCAGCATTATTGGATTTATTATTCTTCATTAAAATCATTACATTTTAGGGAAACAGAAATTATGATATGCCAAGTCTCTAAAGCAGATTTTTAAAAACCCTGAAAAGAGCAAAGTAAAGCAATAATTAAAATATAAACAAGAAAAATTTTTAATATTGGAAAAAAAGCTTGAAATACTGTACCTTATATTCCTTTTTCCATGCTTCAAAAAGGTCCATTGAAGTACTTCCTTCATCAATGAATTCAACATCAAATCTGTGTGACTTTGCAAATGATAGCAATGCTTTCATAGATCGCTCTGTCTCACTTACTGCCCACAGACCCCGGCTAGTGGTCGGTATTCGATCATCCACCAGTCCTTCTTCATCTTCTATCATCTCCTCAAATATTGCAGTCTGGCCTTTGACTCTGAAAACGTATGAGAGCAAAACAACAGTAACTACTGTCAGTGGGTTAACAAGCATTGTAAAAGTCCTATTGACAGAGCCAAGAGAGAAGCAAGGTCAGTAACTTTCCATCAACAACCTTCAATTATCATGTCTACAAGATCATGCTTGCAAGTCTTTGGAAAACTACAGTAATTCTAAAAATGCTGGAGGCATTATAAATTTGTCCAGTATCTTGACAGCAATGTGACATAAAAAATGGCTATACATTTTTATGCTAAAATCTAGCTCTGAGAATTACCATAATACAAAACACAAACTACCACCACCACCACCAACCATGCAAATTAGATGATCTCAAAGTACACTGTCAATCTCCTTTTTTTCAAGGCAATCAGAACTTGGCCTTTTCTCAATTTGTTTGTAAAATAGGAGTAATTTTCTAATACCACAACCATTATGCACTCACTCCTTGATACAGGATGAGAACTTCCAATTTGTGTTGGAGAAAGTATATTAATAATGAAAGCTAATCTTTTACAGAACACTTACTATGTATCATGCACTATGTTAAGCAATTATGTGCATTTTAAAATCTAATATTCATAAAAAACTCAATGAGGTAAGTGTTGTTTTATTTTCATTTCACAAATGAGGATACTGAGGCATAACAGAGGCAATCTGCCTGCAATAGTGGGCAGGGATTTGAGTTGAAATGTGTTGGACTTGAAAGTCTGTCACTCCCCTAAATTGTCCCTTCATAACACGTTACTAGATGACATGAGCATTTGGGGGTAACTTCTGTATAAGTGAAACTGGAAGATGTTAAATGATCACATGCCAAAGTTCACTGAATTGATGTAATTAAAGAAAAAACACAGGAAGGTTACTGTGAGGAAAATAGTCTTATAAATCAAAACACCAAGTTCTGTAAACATTTCATTCTCCTGATGGTAATCAATCAGAGAACTCACGTGTGGGAAAACAGCTTTGATTCATACTCTGTGAACAATTCATCAGCCTTACAAAAGACACAGCTGAAAAGGAAAGAAATGATCAGAGAAATATTTACAAACATAACTACCAATCAGGTAATTTCTAAAAGACGCTTAGTATTTTATACTTCACTTTTTCTTTATAACACATATGCCATTTAAGAAAAAAAAATACACAGTTTTCAGTATGTGGTCCTTGAGAGTTTTTTAAAAGTTAGATTAATAATGTATTTCTTTCCACTTCTGTGAGAATTTAAATTAAAAAACTTTTATTAGATGAGTCACTGTTTCTTCTCTCAGAAGAAATCTAGCTGAATGGAATGACTCCATTTCATTGCATGACTTCTATTACCTACCAGTTGAGAGGAAGTCTGGTTGGTCGGAGGTGGCAGATTGTTGCCGATTCAATAACATTACGAGATGGAGGTCCCTCCAGGTTTTTTACAGCTTCTCTTACTAGCTTCTGGAATTTATTTAGCTCTTCCATTTGGGTAGTAAGTAAGAACTGAAGACCTCTGCAGTCATGGAACCTAATTCCCATCACCAGCACCACACACAGCACAAAGAAAAGAAGAGTAGGTCAATTTCCTCAAATTCAGAAAATGGTTACCAAATAAAATATTCAAGAAAATGTGCAACAATTTTACCTAGCCTACCTTGAGTGAATTTACCTTAGTAGTATGCTCAATCTACTACTAGACAATGTATAATAACATCGGGTTATTTACTATAAAAGATATCAAAATTTTGATAGTCTGTCCCTAGGAAATGAAACAGAGTCTGCAGAATCTGTCTCAGTCTCAGATGTCTTTGAAAGACCAAGATTGCCACATTCTTTTTTAATGCTGATTGACTACAAATGTCCCTCCTGAAATCCTTTCTTTATATGGAGAGGTGACTGCAGAATGAAAAATGAAGAGAAAAACTGAGAGGAAAGAAGAAAAATAGCCGAGAGTTATATTGCTTGCTGCAAAGAGTTTATAAATACATACATACATATATATGATGTGTGTGTACATGTATACTATTACATATATTTTATAATACATATATTATTTACATGTATATACATTTTACTAAGCATTTATTTTACAATGCCAGGCACTTTGCCAAGCTCTTTTCCTGTATAATCTCAACAGATACTACTGTGCTCATGTCATGGATGAAGCTTAATGAATTAAAATAATTTACGTTACAAAGCTATCATGTAGCAGAGTTAGGAGTTAAATCCAACCACAATACTTTTTTTTTTTTTTTTTAAAGATTTTGTTTCTTTATTTGACAGGAAGAGAGAGAGAGCACACAAGCATGGCAGGTGGCAGGCAGAGGGAGAGGGAGAAGCAGGTTCCCTGTCGAGGGGAGCCAGATGCGGGGCTTGATCTTAGGACCCTGGGATCATGACCTGCACTGAAGGCAGATGCTTAACCGACAGAGCCACTCAGATGCCCCTCAAACACAATACTCTTAACTCTTTTAATAAACTGAATGAAATGTGCCAAGGAAAGAAATGTATGGGTGTACATGAATGGGTTTATGAAATGAGAAAGAAAACCTAAGACTAGTAAGAAATTAGAAAATGGAAAATGGAGTTATTGGGTTCTCCTTCCTAAAATGCCATACACTTATTTCTCCAAATTGTTCAAAAGAGTCAACTCTCCTTCCTGAAGGCTTCCCAGTATTTTACAACACTAATCTGTTTCTTTCTGTCCGTAGAGTTAATTGAAAATATTATTCATTTTAGTACTTTGTCATGCTGAAGTGTTTACACATACTTATATTTCTCAGATTGTTCATGGGTTTGTCTACTCATTAAGCTAATTTTTATTTTATTTTTAAAATTTTTTTTTATTTATTTGACACAGAGAGAGAAACAGCTAGAGAGGGAACACAAGCAGGGGGAGTGGGAGAGGGAGAAGCAGGCTTCCCACTGAGCAGGGAGCCCGATGCAGGGTTTGATCCCAGGACCGCGGGATCATGACCCGAGCCGAAGGCAGACACTTAACAACTGAGCCACCCATGTGCCCCTCATTAAGCTAATTTTTAGAAGGTAAGAATTAGATCATATCTTTAAAAAAATATGTAATAGACATAGAATAGCTGCTCAATAATTTCTAAAAGAATTTGTATGGGGATACAAGAACACAGGTTAGCTATCAGTATTATTCACATCACTATTATTCAGTATTATTTGCAAATTATGCAACAGGGGCTAAAAAAATTATCATAATACAACCGTCTTAGCAATATTCTCTCTTGCAGGTCCTTTAAGTGAAAAAGAAGACTATAATTACATGTTAGTGGTAGGCACTAAATGGTAGGCACTATTCTAAATACACAAGCACTTTGCAGATATTAATTTACTAATCCTCACAACAATGCTGCGTGGTTTTATAGATGAGGAAACTAAGGCACAGAGAGCTTATCTAACTTTCCCAAGGTCACAGAACTAGTAAGTGGTGGAGCTGGGATATGAACGAACACAGGCAGTCTGACTCAAGAATCTACCTGTGCTCTTAATCTAAGGAAAACTAAGGTTTTCCTTTCCTAAGAATTGGTAAGAAGTAAGCATGAATCGTTTGGCTTCTGAAATATGGATCTCACTGGAAAACACAGAAGCACATTAAAATGATCTTTGAAAGTATATGCCATACAAAAAATATTAACTCTCCCAGATGGTAAGTTAAACATTTAAAAAAAATTTTATTTTAGAAATGTTTGTTACTTTCTATTTATGTCTAATGTTTCTGAGAAAAATATGTGTAATGAATGGCTTGTTTTACATTACCTATTGGTCCTTTAATAGCCCCGGGACCTCAAGACTTTTACTAGGGACTATGTTCTCATATATAGGAATTTGCAACTTTTAAGTAGTTTCTATGCGATTTAAGAAAAACAACTTCAAAATAACTTTAAGATTTTCTTTTCAGCTGATACCACAATGCTGGCAGAACACATTAGTACATAGCTTTAAAAGTGGATAAAATGAATCATGACTTAAACGACAACTTATCCTGGAATGGTGACTCTTGGATTAAATAGAGAAAAAGGAAGTGCACTCAGGAGTCTAATGTACGGCATATACCTCAGAAATGAAGCCTGTCAAGTTCTGTATGGTGAAAAAGATGATGACTGTACATCTAAATTAGTAATGACACATGGGAAATGTAGCACATCTCTTTAGGGTTTTAGCAGACATTTGGAAAGGCTTTAAAAGAGTAAAAGAAAACACTTTAGGGCGCCTGGGTGGCTCAGTTGGTTAAGCGACTGCCTTTGACTCAGGTCAGGATCCCAGAGTCCTGGGATCGAGTCCCACATCAGGCTCCCAGCTCAGTGGGGAGCCTCCTTCTCCCTCTGACCCTCTCCCCTCTCATGCTGTTTCTCTCTCTCTCTCTAATAAATAAATAAAATCTTAAAAAAAAAATTAAAATCCCCAACATTAAAAAAAAACAACACTTTAAAACATTTTAAAGATATTCCTATGCTGAATTTTTCACTGAAAACCAACATTAATCCCAAGGCTGACCTTATACTGGGATGTGATCTGAGAAGCAATAAAAGATCTCTCTCTGTCCCCTACCTAGAATCAATAGTCCTACCACAATTCCTCAAGTCCCCACATTAGACTGACATTCCTTTGGGTGAAATCACTGTGGATACTTTTGATAAAGAATAAATTTGGTCTTTGGGAAGAATTATTTACCATTTATACAATAAGAGCAACAATCCAACATACCGACCAAGACCCTAAAGAATGGTGAGTGTTGATGAGAAGAAAGAAAGATGGGGGAGAGAGCAGGTAACTCTACAACATAAAACCTGGGCCACTGTGGTGCTATGATGCTTAGCTCTCTGGGGGTGAATTACACAGTAGAAGCATGAATGCCTTACCTCAAGGACAAATTTCTCCAAAACAAAGACTATTTCAAGACTTTGCTTAGAGTTGGCTCTGGTGCGTCCAACAAAGATACAATGAATATACTTTAAGCAGATTAAAAAAACACTAAAAAGGGACTATTTAAAAATGACTAATACACAGAAGAAACACAGGTTTGTTTTTTTCAGACTTATAGCTAATATTTGTTTGAGATGTACTCTTAACAGTATGTAAAATCCAGATGTTCATAACCATAATATGTTAGGATAGTTAATTGTACCTCTTAACATGAAATGATCTGAATATTTTGGGTCATTACCCATAAAGTTATCCTATTTTGTACTATTTTCTTACTTTTCTGACATAGAAAACTTGCCAATTTGTTGCTTGTAGTTGCTCGTTATTTCATTTCGCACTCGCTGAACAAGTTCCTCATCAATAGCAAATTCTATTGCTCTGTGGATCACATTCAGCCACCAAGGAGAATTAGAATAAATCTGTAAAAAAAACAGCAGCTCATCAATTCATGTTTTTTTCAGTGCGCACTATGTTTCTATCACTAGGAAAGGTGCTGTGAAAAAGTCAAAGGAAGCAATAAATGCTAGTCTCAAGGAATTATAACGGTGGGGAAGACAAGCATACATGCTCTATATACAATGGGTGCATACAAGTTTTGCATACATAATTAAAGAGAACACCTGTTTCCTGACTACTGTGGATGAATGAAAATTTACTGTATGTATTTGTGTAACACAGTTGTGCTAAAAAAATACATTACCAAAATGAAAACTCAGTATTCACTGTATATATTTGAAAAGGTGACAGGTCTCTTTCTCAGCATAATAAAGACATCCTGCTAATCTTCAACTAACTGAACTAGATTCTACTCAATAATACTCTATGATTACTAGCAAAGTTATATGCCTGAATACTAAATAATTAATGTATTAGGAAGAATAAAGTATGGAGTAACTGGTTAAAATAAAAAAGACAATGTGTTTTGTGGTAGCCTCCTCTTTAGGCTTGCTACTGATTTCATAAACAGAAATTTTAGAAATGACAAACAGCATGTATTCCGTAAGAAAAATACCCGTGTTTCTAATGTTCTGACATCCTTAAAAGATTCTGGAAACATACATATCTAAGATCAAAAGGAGGTTATGAAAGTCTTTACTTTTTTCAAAAGACAACTTATTGTCTACACAAGGTCAGAGAAAACCCATCATTGCTTAAAAAAAAGAAAGAGAACAACTTCCAAATAGGTGATTTATCTACACACCTGTTCATTCAATTAACAAACACTGCGAACAGCAAGTAACATTTTTTATTATGGGACAGGCACCCTACTAGGTGCTAAGAATTCCAAGATGAATAAGAAAGCTCAAGTTTTTCTCCAAACCAAGACAAAGTCCAAAATGCTACATGGAGACAAACACAGGTAAGCCAAGTCATTTTGGGGCCGCACCTTTCTCTGGAGCTCCCGAATGGTCTGCTGCACAGGCTGCAGAGCTTGCTGTGCTTCAGCAACTTCTGTGTTACACTTGCTCATATAATGCTCTCGCAGTTGTTTGGCCTGTTGAAACAGGAAACAAATGTAAACTTTCATTCCAGGTCTGGAAAATAATTCAGTATAATGTTGCAAGAACAATGTGGTATATTTTAGGTACGTAAAGCGACTTAACACAGTTTAAGCAAAGAATTCTGTAAGTATACTGTCAAGAACGTAAGAGCCAAGCTAGAAATTCCTAAGACATATTAAAGAGACCACATTTACTCGTAAGTCACAAAATTTAAGAAATCCCAAGGGTCTGCTTCCTAAATTTCTAATTTTTTAATTAAAAAAAAAGGGGGAATGGGAAGAACAGTATTTCAAATCATGAGGCAAAGCAATCTTTTAGAATTTGTCTGATTTAGGGTGCCTGGGTGGCTCAGTTGGTTAAGCGACTGCCTTCGGCTCAGGTCAGGATCCTGGAGTCCCGGGATCGAGTCCCACATCGGGCTCCCTGCTCAGCAGGGAGTCTGCTTCTCTCTCTGACCCTTCCCCCTCTCATGCTCTATCTCATTCTCTCTCTCAAATAAATAAATAAAATATTTAAAAAAAAAAGAATTTGTCTGATTTAGTTATTACAACTTTTTGAAATCACTTCAGTTTGGAAATAATACTTGAGAGTATACAGTAACATAGGTGTTGTGGACATGGGATATTGGGAGGAAAACCAGAAAGACTCCTGAACAGGAAATCCTAACCCTTCCACTTAGAGGTGGGTTGACCCACGTGAAGTTGCCAACACTAGACCCTTTGACTTACAAAAATGGCAATTTCATGAGGTTCAACTGAACAGATACATCTCTTTGGACTAGCCATTTCACCTCTCTGGGCTTCTGTTACTTCATTTGCAAATGTTGGTGGTTGAAGTAGATGATTTCTTGGATCTGTGGCTTCATATTCTATGAAAGGCAAAAATGACAATGTGGTCTCCTTGGAAATCTATCTATCCAGTGTGACACATTTTTTCTTCTTCTCCCATGATGCATTTCTCCTTTTCCTGTCACAACCTTCCGATTAATTTGGCTATAATTATTTGGTCATTAGAGCTATCTACTAATAGACTGGACAGTCTCCCAGTTTCCTGTCGCTCATGGCATTTAAACAAGTGACTGACTGTATGTAAAATTAGACGCCTGCAATGGGAATGAGATTTCATTTAAAAATCTCCAACACTTAGACTGTCATCTAACATCAAGAAAGGGCTGTACATACTTATACAATCTCACTTTCTATCTTAATTCAAATAAAAAAGTCCCACTTACAGGTTCAATTCATTTCAAACATACTACTACTCTTTTGATTTTAGCTTTGCCATCTCTCTTTGATTTTTAAAAAGGCAACAATCCATGGGGGAATTAGCATAATAGACTCATCAACAATTTACAGTGAAATGATTTATACCATTCTTTCCAATGAGGCAAGACTTACTGCAGAAGGAACTTCTTTGAGAAGACATAAGAAATACCACCAAAACATTGAGTTTATTTACTGCCTTCGGTAATATACAGAAAAGTGGAGGAAGCACAAAACTTTTTATTTTTACTAAACTGCATCTTTTGCAGATCTGCCACGAGATCAACAAGGTCTTCTTCCTTCCTTCCTTTCCTTCCTTTTTCTTTCTATGTGCTGCTGGCTACCAACAGCCATATCTATAAAAGCAGGTACCATATAACCACAAGCAGATCATAAGAGAAGCAAAATAGTACAGAGTACTGCAATTCTCTCCCATCCCAAATCACCAAAGAAAATTTGGAACAAAAGCAGCAGGAAAGCATATGATTACTTTTATTTAGATGTTGTATGCCCTAGGAAATATTAATGAGATGTGGGATAAAGTCTGAAAAAAAGATTCCTTTACAGACAGAATAAAAAAATAATTACCTCTTCCTCAAGTCTGCCATCTCGTAAGGTAGGAGGTATTCCTGGGTGCTTGGCTACCAACAATTCCATCAAGTTATGGGTAGCATGAAGTCTCTACAAACACACAAAAGGCAATAATTTTGAGAGTCAATGCAGTGGACTCTTAAGGGAGAATCTACTATTAATACGGCATACAGAATACTAACACCACGTTAAGATCAGATCACTGAAAACTTTTCCTCTAACACAATTTGAGCACCAGCCTCCTCAGAGAAAACCAAAATCAGTTTCATAAGTAAAGGTCTTAATTCATAATGGCATAAACTTTCTTCAATTAAAAATACACAGTCCTAAGGGAAGAAAACAGTCTTATGAAATATGTCTATGCATTTAGCTGAATGTGTAATACAGTATATTTCTTCTATTATACGTGCCTTTGTCTATATAGGGAACTATGATTATGCCAAGTAAGCCCAGTAAAGTAGAAAGACTGATTGCCCAGACTTGATTGATTCCTCTTCTGGGAAATGAGTCTGCATAAGCCTAGCAATTATCATAAAAATAAGGATAACGAAATACATAGGAAAACAGGGCTGTGACCTGGATCTGTTGAACTTAAGGGGTGAAAAAGGGAGAAGCTAGAGGTAAAGATATAAGGAAGAAGGAGAAAACTGTATCTTTTATCTCTGTATTCAGTGTAAGCCAGGCTTCTCCCTATGATACTGAGTCTGCAGCTGGTTAGAGGCTCCCTCTGGAGTCAAGGGCTGTGAGAAGAAATAAGTAATTTCTGTTAACTTCACTCTTTACCTGGGAAGACAGCTAAGGACTAAAGGATAATCAGGAAAGAGTCCTGCTAAGATCTGATTTGGTACTAGTGGTTTGAGACTATAAAGGTTTACTCTGTCTGGCTACAGATTACGGGCCATGGTACAGATCTTTGTAGAGTTCATCTTTGAAGAGTCACCTCAAATGTCTTAGGTCTTTTCAACATGGCTTCATAGATAATACAATCAGCAACACTATCACATTGAGTAGCAACAACAAACTTGTAAATGGCACTATGGAAACCAAGTGGTAGAAACCGGGCTCCTCTTCTCCTTCTGTGGCTTCCTGAACAAGGTGGTAGAACAGACTGGGGAGAACACCTGTCTCTTTCATCCCCTTATTTTTATCCCAAGGGAGCAGAGTGGCTAATCTGACTGAATAGAGCAAAACAGTCAGTGCGCCATGGTTTATAGTAGATAGGATTATTAAAGCCAAAAGGAAGAAACAGGCTGATGGCTCACTCTTCATTCCTGGACTCAGGCATACTGGACTTATCTGTTTGCTCACCCACTTTTCTACTTCTGCTTCTTTTTTTCAGGAGCATATTACCTTTGTATTTCTGCCTTCTTCCATGAGGCAAACACATTTGCCTAAGACCGAAGGTCTGACTTCTGTAATCCTCGCCCATACAGAATATAAGTAGGCTTGCATTTAATTTTCTCCTCTTTCCTCCAAACACTCCTACAATACTCGCTGAGGTACATGTGAACATGTGGGTCCCAAGGTCTAGATTGTGAACGATACAGAAGTCCCACCTAAACTTAGTAAGATTAATAAAAGTGGTCCTTATTTACCATTTAGCTAGAGCGCCTTGTGTATATGATCCACTGGACAGGACTAAGAAAGGGAAGCGATTCAATACTTAAATGTTATAGTTCAAAAATTCAGATTTTCCTAAGAGACCTCCAAAAATTAAATCAGAAAATCATCATGAAAAATTATTTTGTAAAAAATAAATAGACTATATACTTGAAATTGTTTAGTGCTTACTTACTTGGAGTGAATCCGTTTTGAGTTTCCCTTTGTGTTCCTCAGATGAACGCAACACTTCCCTGTAGAGCTCTGCTGCCAAGGCATACTCACCTGAAGAATTAAAATGTTTTTAGAGCATAAGAAAATCATATATTTAGCTCCCAATGTGATCTAGTTATCTATCATATAAAAATGTCTACTGCAAAAATATAACAATGATTATACCTTACCATCTTTTATTTATTTTAAAGATTTTATTTATTTATTCATGAGAGACAGAGAGAGAGAGAGTGAGAGAGAGAGGCAGAGGGAGAAGCAGGCTACCAAGGAGCAGGGAGCCCGATGCGGAACTCGATCCCAGGACCCTGGGATCATGATCTGAGCCGAAGGCAGACGCTTAACCATCTGAGCCACCCAGGCGCCTATACCTTACCATCTTTTAAAGAAAAGGAATGTGACTTGGTATTAATATGACTGCGCCAGTAAAAAAGCCGATGATAACTCTGCTAATTCCATAGCACTGAACACCAATCAGATATACTTAGGTTTTAAAATTATACTGAAAAACAAACTCTGAATATACTTTTAATTTAGATGATTTTCCTCTTAGTGAAGTTAAAGGGTGCTGATTAGGGTAGTCATTTTGATGTTTGAAATTAAAAACAAATTTATAAATAAATACTCAAAACACTGATCAACCTACACAGAATTCTCAGATAAATAATAGATCCTTCTTAAAGGCCAAAATGGTTTGCAGTTAAAAACTACACTTCAAAAACTTCAAGATTCTTCTTTCCATTTCTGGTCACATAAATCACAATTAGTCTGAGATTGATGCTGTTTTAATTATTCATAACTAGCAGCTCATTCAAATAAAGTGATTTAAAAAGTATCAACTAAAATATAGGTTGGCAAACTATGGTGAAATACACCTAACATAAAATTTACCATACCAATCATTTTTAAGCATGCAGTTCAGTGACATTAAGTACATTCACATTTTTGTGCAAAACACTTGCTTTTATACCATTGTTTTGTATTTAGTCCTACAAGTTACCTATTACAAAGTTTTCTAAAGCACACATTTCATAGTATTTTACAGTCAATTTCTATTCACTTTGATAAAGGTGAACATTATTTTTGCAAAAAATTAATATCACATTGTAATGAAGGAGTAACACTCAATTATCTTCACACCAAAAAGCTCTTCTTTCTTAGTTTTGAAGATCCTTACGAAGTTTTTCAACACTAAAAAGATTCTATTAGTATTTATACTATCATTTATAGAGAATAATTCATTTAATAATTCTCCTTTCATAATTACCAGACTTCTTAAAGATGGTACAATGACTAAACTATAATATAAGCAGCTGAATTTGAACTATTCACTATAATCCCATGCCTTCTGGGAAACACAAAAATATGCATATTCAGTAAGTTTACAAGTTTAAGCCAAATTTAGAAATACCCATTCTTTGCCACTTGGTGGCACTAACATTTCCAAGTAATAAATAGTATTGAATTTGATACTTGCCAAGCTAATTTTCTCCAAAAAATATGTGCAGAAAACACATTGTACTAATTTGGAATAATACCATGTTTTTAAAACCATAATCAGTGAGGACCTTAGAATATGCATTACATATCATACATATATGTTTGTATATAATATAAACAAATCCCTTGAGTTTGCAGTTAATTTTAGATTTCTTTTAGAAGTCAGATCTTTACTATCTGATTTCTATACTGGAAGAGATTAAATCAAGTTAAGTATGCAATGTTACTTTTAAAAATGTTTAACATACCACTATGAAGCAATGGAAACTAAAAGCAGTAAATCATCACAATTATGTTTATAATTACAATTAAATTAAGAATGGACATATCTTTTATTAATGGACTTTCTGATAGGAATTTCTCTTAACAATCAACAAAGTTTTCATTGCACAGAAAGACAAAGAACTCTAGTGGGAATGCAGTAGAAACTATCTGAAAAGAGCAGTGAAGCACCTCCTGTTATGCCCTGGTTTGGTATTTTGCCACACTGACCCTCCAGTGTGCTACAGACAGTGCTTAGAAATGACTGGATGAATAATTCTTTTTCATAATCCTCATACCATGCATAACAACATAGCAGGGAAAAGGAGGGAATAAATCTGAAAAGGAGACTAGAAAAAAGGCCAAGGGAAGAAATTCATTTACTCTCCAAGCTTGAGTCATAAAAACATAGAATGAAATGAGGGTTCCAGTTTTAGAACAAAGATGGGAAATATGAAATTTATTTTTATTATTGTGATAATCTGCAAGTAATATATTACTCCATTTTAGAAATTTTTGATGAAGAGCTTCAACCTACCAAAGACAGCATAATATTGAGGTTTAAAATGTCTATTTGATAAAGCAGACATAGTATAATAAAAAAAAATTAAATTAATTTGAAATCAAAAGATCCAGGGCAAATTATCTGTCATTTATTAGCTATAATCTTGAGAAACCAACTATGCTTTCTGAATGTCAGTTTTTTTTTTTTAAAGATTTTATTTATTTATTTGACAGAGACACAGCGAGAGAGGGAACACAAGCAGCGGGAGTGGGAGAGGGAGAAGCAGGCTTCACGCTGAGCAGGAGCACAATGTGGGGCTAGATCCCAGGACCCTGTGATCATGACCCGACCCGAAGGCAGATGCTTAACGACTGAGCCACCCAGGTGCCCCTGAACGTCAGTTTTCTTATGTAAAATGGGGATAATTCCTCAATCATTGGGCAATAACGAGGAAAAACAATATGTACATGAAATGTTAGGCATAATACAAAATGCTTATAGAAAATGATCACTTCTTCAGGGAGGCCACATGAAGTGATTCTGTTTCTGAGGAATGTAGTTCTAAAAGGTATGAGCTACAGGATTCAAAAAACAAACACTTCTGGTGATCTGAAAAACCACAGAAAGCCAGAGTTGGGAAGAACTGCAGTCCTTTCTAAAGTCTTATATTTATTTTACAGTCTAATAGTCAATATGTTAGTAAAGAAAAGCAAGTAAAAGTAAAGTAAAGCACCTTTACTGCTTGTATGCTTTGCTGGCAGTTTTGCTGGTCATAAAAGAAAATAAAAGAAGGCGGAATAGGAAATCTTAACTATTTTGTTTTAACCCTGTTCTAATCCATTCTTTTAGATTTCTAATCTTCAGCCTTTCCAGAGTTTCTCTTAATAAGTACTTTAAGTAATGGTACAAATTTTAGGGAATTTAAAAAATATTTTCTGCTGTAACTTAATATGTACAACAATCTGGCAATACGGTGGTCTGCAAGTCAATGCTCATTTCTTGAGTGGATAAATATGTTTAATAATTTGGAAAATAAAAACACCTTTCTGAATCAAAAAAAGGAAAATGATCATTTCTCAGATATGATGCCAGATTTTTAATCTAAAAATATCTGAAATAGTACATTCATTATTTATGTATCTCTAAGAAGAAATATACATATTTCTTTTTTTTTTTTGAAGTATACATATTTCTTATCTGTGACACTCAAGTATTCTGTAGATTTTAATCACAATTATTTCACTCAATTAATTTGGGACTACGAGAAACTATTATTAGGTAGGACACATAATTTGCCACCTTTCGCTTAATTCTAAGTTGAAATAAAGTTTTTTTTTAAATTTCTATTAAAAAGTAGTATGGTGACAGATGCTAGCTAGCTACACTTTTTTTTTTTTAAAGATTTTATTTATTTATTTGACAGAGAGAGACAGTGAGAGAGGGAACACAAGCAGAGGGAGAGGGAGAGGGAGAAGCAGGTTTCCTGCGGAGCAGGGAGCCCGATGTGGGGTTCTATCCCAGGACCCTGGGATCCTGACTAGAGCCGAAGGCAGCCGCTTAACGACTGAGACACCTAGGCGCCCCCAGCTACACTTCTGATGAGCACAGCATAGCACAGAGTTCACCCGAAACTAATGTAACACTGTGTCTCAACTATAGTTTAATTAAAAAAAATGCTGCCCTATTTAGTCTTTCACTATGCGTTGTAAAGCACAGATTATTTCAGATTTTAGATTGATGCTGGGAATATTACAGTCGCAGGCACACTTAGCAACTGACAGGGCAATGATAATGATGGTGATAATTAAGAATTATTTGAGAAAATTCATACTTGTAAACACTGCTAGCTAAATGAAGTATTTCCTAGGCAATGTCCTAGAGAGAAGATTTGCACACAAAGTTGCACATGCTATTTATATTTGTACAATTTATCAGGAATATGTAATAATATGCCTTTTCTCCTATCATTGATAATAAAGACTCTGCATTCAAAACAGATTGAAAGTGGTTAAGAATCTGAGGTTACTTCATATTATCAGTAACACCACTCTTCATTTATATGTTTCTATAAAGTTTTCAATGAATATTTACACTTCACATTAAGAATAATACTTCAAGGGAGGCTAAGCAAGTGGTACTATCTATATTTTATTGATAAAGAAACATTCATAAACCTTCAACAATATACACGAGTTCGGAGGGTTACACCTAAAACAAACAAGCCCATCTTTTTCAGTTCTTGTCTAGAGCTACTTCTACTCAGCTTCTGTGAGTCTTCCAAACTCTAGGCAAGTTTTCAGGACAAGAAACACTTTCTAGTTCTGGTCCCGTTATGTTGAAAAGCTTAACTAGACATACCACTCAGTTCCAAGAGGCTTAAAACATTTCCTTGTATCAGACAAAACCACAAATTTCCCTGGGAAACTAATCTCCTTAGGGACTTATTAGGTAAATTACAAGAAAAATGGTAAATTCTCTCCATGACTGTGTACTCAAGTAGAATGGATTAATAATCTTTGTGGGAGGGTCAAAAGAACTGGAATTTATCACAAAATGCCTTTCTAGTTCTAACAATATAATGAAGAGTTAAATACACAAATTTTGTGAGGAATGTAGAAATAAAGAAGCATTTATATATACTAAGTTATAAAAGTACTTAAAAGTGTACATTACTTCACCATTATGAAATACTTAAATGATTTTAAGAACTATGTTCTACTTAGTTTTGAAGTTTTGAAGAGACTAAAATCAAATTATCTAAACCAAAGCTATTAAAGAAGGTTTTAAA